TGTAGGTTATGTAAACATGCAATATGCGTTTAATCATTGGCATAGGTATCAAGTAGTAATAACATTCTCATAAATATATTAAGTATGAAAAATTACAAGAGACCTGTTTTCACATTTTATCCTTATATTCTTCTATAAACCAAATATATATATTTTTAAACTTATTTAGATATATAAATAGAAAATAATAAAGGAAAGTTTTAGTACCTTAATATGCTGTCTAAGTCTTATTTAAATTTGACCATTTTAAAAGGAAGTTTTTTTTGATTGGGTACATAGTAAGTACGTTTTTTTCTGGATTTTATTGTGTTTCTTTACCATTTTTACCAATTTATTAAATTAATCTGAAAAGTAACTTAAAAGTTATGAAACTAGTTCAAAGAAAACATTATTTACGAAAGCTTAAACATTTTTTGTTTCTTATTTATTGATTCTGTAATTTCATATATTTCTGTATGTGTATATAAAGATAATATTTGAACTTAATTCCTATTACATGATACTTAAGTTAACAAAATATTATATATATAACATAGATGTTATATATAAACTTAGATGAAACGCAAATGATAAGTATTAAAAGCGTAACTTTAAGGAAAATTGAGAAAAAGGTTATATAATACTGCTTATCTTCGTTTCTAGATATCTTAAAAAGATGTTATTGTTGTTTTTAATCCTGGGGTATTATGTTACTTTAAGTCATATCTTACAACTGCAAGAAACTTCTCGGGATCTATTAAGTAATAAATGAGAACATATTAAAGCAATGGATTAATATCTCTTTACTCCTGTTATCACCTTATTTTATTCATATCCACCCAGAAGCGCCAATCAGTATAATGATTATATCCAAGCAAAATTACAAAATATGACTTTTTTCTATATTAAACATTTTAAAGCTATAAAGATATGTTTTTTTAACATAATTCTCTTTTATGTTTCTTAACTGTGTTTTAGACGTTTGGTACCTGTATTTTCATTAACTCTCTCTACCTTTTATATCACACTCATAATATAAAAGTTACGTACGTTAAATTAAAAGTGATTTCGCCACGTTCTATGCTTTCATGTCCAGCATACACCACTCCTACCTGTTGGCTTTCCATAATCCATCTAATGTACGAGGACAACGGTTTCACAGTGCACAGTTCAATAGCGCATAAATCCTTAGGCGCTGCGTACGACAACTTGAACGAGTCTTCGTATCAAATAGCATGAATACATTCTCCACACCTATTTCAGACATGGGATGGTTTAACGGATATGTCGTGGAAGTGACTTGTGTCACTTTACCAGACGGATATACTTTATTCTATTGCCTAGCCCCATAGACCGGTTTTCACACTGACCTTTGTGTTTTTAGATTCTCACCTGCTATAAGATGCCCCACTTTGCTTACCAAAAGTTGCGGTATGATTTATTACACTTCCCTTTCTGAATAAATCATGGTGCCCCAAGTTGTTCAGTTTTCCTTTGTTTTCTAATGTTATTAAGTACAAGGGATATTACTGTCTTGGAAGTCTAAGTCTTCGATCTAAACACCTCTTTATTGTATAAATATTTTTGCAATGAAAAGCTTGTTGCATACCCTTTCTAAAAGTGATAAATATTCGGTGGCATCGCACAACCTACGAATGTCAAAATACATTTCCGATACATGCCGTTCCATCACGACTTTATATCGATATGGATGTCATGTGACTTGCTCAATTACATAACTCAAATCGTTTTGATATAATGTATTCAACCCTCGGTATAAACATTAAAATATTACTTTGCCAAAGTGCTGCCTGAAAATACAAATATTATAGAAATTTGATTTTTTAAATATATATTGAACAACGACTCCTGCAATAGTCTGTTTTTCGCCCAAGAAATATCATCGTACAGGAGACTAAAAACTAAACCATTTCAAGTTGCGTGATTTTATCCTAAACTTTTATCGAATTATAATTTAGGTTTCAACACTGAATGTATATACACAAGGAGTATTTGCCATGTATGAAGTATTTCTTCTCGGAAGTTGTACTTGAATTGTGTATGACATTTACTTCCTCTGTAAAACTGGATCTACGGATACTTCTGGTACTGAACGACGAACTACTCAAAACGTATAAAAATAATATTGTAGTTCTGTGCAATTACTATGATTGATGACAAAAACATTCGTTTCCAATTCATTCTGCAGTTACACATCAATAGAAGAACTATTTCAAAAGTTGCTGTTATTTTCAAGTTATTTCGACAAAAAATTTATTCTTTACGTAGTTAACCTGTGGCGTTCCGTAACATCATGTAAATATAAACCCATAAATTATTCAAACTTTATTTCTGTAGCTTTATTTGTTTGTTTATGTGTTTCGAATTTCGCGCAAAGCTACACGAGGGCTATCTGCGCTAGCCATCCCTAATTTAGCAGTGTAAGACTAGAGGGTTTGTTTGTTTGTTTTGAAATTTCACGCAAAGCTACATGGGGGCTATCTGCGCTAGCCGTCTCTAATTTAGCAGTGTAAGACTAGAGGGAAAGCAGCTGGTCATCACCACCCACCGCCAACTCTTGGGCTACTCTTTTACCAACGAATAGTGGGATTGACCGTCACATTATAAGGCCCCCACGGCTGAAAGGGCGAGCATGTTTGTTGGGACTGGGATTCGAACCCGCAGATTGCGAGTCGAGAGCCCTAGCCACCTGGCCATGCCGGGTCAATTTCTGTAGCAATATCAGAATCCTTCCGTGAGAACTTCCAGCTAACACTACTGAACATGCAATTAATCTGTATCGAAAAGCTTAAACAATATATTATCACAATTTCGTATTTCAACCCTAATAATGTGTAAACAGCAAACAGCGAAAAAAACTTATATTGTAAAATCTTTGTTCAATTGATTTCATTGTTCACAAGAAATAGCATTCCTTTTCCAAAAAATGAAACGTTACATGCAATGGGACAGTTCACTTATATACTTTTACACTTGTATATTTATATATATGTTCAGTGATAAATTGTTGTTTGTGAGTATGTAGATCAAACTGAAAAGCAACCTTAGTTGTTATTTGTATACAAC